CGAAAGTATTTAGTAACAAATTTCAAATATTATTATTATTAAGTAACATAAATAAAATTGTATGTGAAGATCAAAATGTATTTTGGGATATTATAAACTCATTTACAATTCGTACATCTCTAAAATTTTGATTTTATAGTTTTACTTCCGTCTATTATTAGAAAAAAGTACTAATATATAGCACTTTAGAGATCTACTCATATCTTATAGTGATCATCAAAGATGTCAATCGCCCTTGTAGTCTGAGTCTCTGTACTCTAGAAAACATCACTATGACTTACAAAATGGAATAACTTCAAGTTTTGTTATGCAGCTGATATTATAAAGAATATCTCTATATATTCTAATATAAATATCATATATCATAAATATCATATAAATAAATTCTAATATAAAATCACTTGGCTAACTGAATTATGCATTTATTGTTAGCCAACGAAAAGTAATCACGCGCTGATAATATCAGATATAATGTTTAGATCTGTAATAACACAGTAGAAATATTTTCATTATAATGCTACAGATAAGCGTTGTTCAACGCTGAAAGGCATGACTCTTCCATTCATTCATTCTCCCAATTGACCTGATAAATTTATAAACTTCGCCAAGTTATCAATTTATGATAGACATTGACAGTTGAGGTGGAGTACAGTTTGCTCCTCATCAGCAAAGCTCTAGATGACATTGTGACGAGGTTCCAATGTGAGTTGTATACTGACACACCTATCTGGGTTGTTCAAGAAGCCCGGCATTCTCAAATTGTTATGATTGTAGTATTTACAGAAATTTGATAGCAATTCGGCTATCCGAGAAGATTACGACATTACATCGCGGATCTTGTTGTTTGGCGATATTATTCTAGACTTTTAAAAATTTGTTTAAAAAGTCTGGTTTTTTGAATCACTTGATTCTTCATTATTTATATCGGGCGGAATTCGCTTCTCTCCGAATTCCGAATAAAGTGAATACTCCGTTTGACTAATTCGTTAGCATTGGAGTTTCTACAATATCATTGCGTTTCGAAATCCATTTTCGGGATTTATTTATAATAAATCAATATAGTTTTACGATAAAGGAATTAAATTTTTAACAAATAATTGTTCAACATTGAAAATATTTTTTATTATCTATATATATATATTGATACTACGAAATTTACAATTAAATCTGAATACAAGAATGCAAGTATAGAAATGGCGCGAAATTTTTTCATTGTAATAAAATTTATTTTTGTTTATATCCCGAATTTTTAGCAGAAGTGAATCTAATTTTTATAATATATATTGTCACAGTTTGTATTATAATATAAACATAGTATTATTAATAACTTATTTCTTAAAAATATTTGAAATAAAAAATAGAAATTTTACATTAAAAAATTTTTAAATATTTAAAAAATTTTTTTAAATATATTTCACTGCTTACTCTCTCTCATATACCTTTATTATTTATTTATATATTTTACTTCACTTCAAGTTAAATTAAGCCTGGTTTTCTTTCTTGATATTAAAGTAAATTTAAAAATTTCACTAAACCAACTCATCGGTCTTTTCGTTGAGAAATAGAAACGAAACTGATGAAAAAAATTTAAAAATTGTGTTTATATTAATTTTAACGATCCGCTGAGTAATTTTGTTATCAAATAAAAAAATGCGCAAATATTTATAATTCTAGAAAAATTGATTGCTCACAATTTTATTTTTCAATCTTCTTCAAGATAGATTTGTAATGCTTTGTTTAAGAGAGTTTATTACACATCAATTAGTTCATACAAAAGAACAGCTAAAGAGATCTCTAAAAAAGTAATAGTTTCAGGTATGTTTATAGAACACTAAGGGTGAGTAACTTGAATTGGTATGTAATATAACAAAAATATATAATTTTAAGATATATACATATTTATTGTTATACATGTATAACCATTAAAATCCAATTTTCTACAGCGCGAAATATATATTAAATTACTTCATTTGAATAGAAACAGAATTTTTATTATATATTAAATAAAATTTATAATTTTTATTTTTAATGAAATATTTCGTAATATTTCGATTATAATATCAAAAAGAAATTTTGGATTATATACTACCATATACAACATATGGTATATGCGCACATTTGTTTATAAACTTATGAACCTTTAACAATTAAATATTATCGCAGCAATCAAATTCTTCGTTTAAAATTTTCTTGAAACTTTATTATTTAAATATATAAAAATAATTTCATAAAGTTTAAACTTATTAATTTAGAATAAAAAGTGGGTAGGTATATCAGACACATACACCTGTTTAATAACATTGTTATTATTAAAATGGCACTCCTACCACTAAAGGGATTAAAAAAAGGGACCAATGTAAACTTAACGCTTGTTCTAATATTATAGAGAAATTTGTTAGTCTTCTCAACACCCTCTAGTACATTTCTTATTGTTACCACATATAAACTCCATTGCAAGTCAGTTCCACATAGCTCAAAGTTCTAAGTTTATAAGTAAGTGAAAGTTATTTTCTATTAAATGAAATCATTCACATGAAAAGAGTTGGTTCTTCTTAAATCTTATTAGGTCGACTGTATCCAGGTTCGATTTGTTACTCGCAACTACAAAACGCGGTAAAGGACGTCCGCAGCTTCCGAGGAACGACCAGCTGACCAACGATTTGAAGTCGTTTGGTACTACCAACTGGCGACAGCAAACCATTAATCTAGCTGGCTGGCGGAGGCGTTCGACGCAACCAAAGGCAACTCACGTCTGTAATGGCCAACTAAGTAGGTAAGTAACCAGGTTTGCCAATTCTTTAAAGTAGAAATCTTCACGGTATTAACACTTTTTTGGAAAAAGTCGTACAGTAACATAACAGTTTCTCAATCGTTTCCAAGTTTTCATCCTGACACTCTCAGTTGTCAGTTTCGACTTGGGGTGCCTAATTTGATCCCGTAATTTATTATCAAACATTTACTGCTAAGGACAAATGCTAGCATGTGGACATATGACAACTTCTTGTCAAAGTCAGGAGCGTATCTGTTTTTTGTGGCATGTAATAATGTAACATAATAGTGTAATAAGTACACATGTGCTTATTTAAAATTTCTTTTATTTAAAATTGTTTTATTTAATATTTTCTTTTATTCAAACTTACTCATTTTCAATATTTTTATTCTTTATTGATTCACAGTTTTAAATTCGTAATATTTTTTTTTTTTATTTTTTTATATTTGTTTTTGTATATTTGTTTTGTTTAATTTTTTCTTTTCAATTTGCAACACAATTAGTTAATATTATTTTATATGATGTTTTTTCCGATTAAAAATTACGTTTAACGAATTAAAATGACCGACTTTTTAGAACGTTATCAATAGACAAGTATCTTTTAATAACAATAAATCCGGATGAAAGCACAACCGTAACGCAATGTAAACGACACGAATCCCCAAAAACACTAATTTGTAGAAATGATTTTTGTTAATATGTGTCTATTAAATTCTATTTGTTATCAGTGTTTTTTTAACCATATGAGAATTGACATTTCTATATGAGTATCCAATCTGATTTTTATACTCTTGATTTCTTTAAGTTCCGCTGATTTTTGTTTCTATATTTCATATAAATAAATTAAAAAAAAATAGTAAAATATACCTGGAAACTATTATTGTATTCCATAATAAAAAAAAAATTGTTTTTATTGTATAAATAAATTTATGATAGCAATAATATATATATGTTCTATAGAGTTATTTTGAAAACTGTGTCATTGCAATTATAAAATATTAGAAGAATCCATTTATGATATATAATAAGTTCGTTTTTTTAATTAGAAATAAATAAAATAAAACAGAAAAAAATAACAGATCCGAAGCTGTTTTTATTAAATTCATTTAAATTATTTTGGAACGAAACTGATCTTGAATACATTGATAAGTGATAAGAATGTTAAAAAAAATCTTGATAATATTTTATAAGAGAATTTGGCATAATATTGAGAAATACTTATTGAGAGACATCATACGAAATACATTTAAGCAGCAAAAAAATCTCATTGATAAGATTTTATATATAAAAATAATAACAAGAATACAACTTATAAAGGGTGTTAAATTAAGTTAGTTTAGTTAATTTAATATGGTCATAATTAAAGATACTTTTATATTATTTTTCTCACATATGCTAATTTAAAAATAAGGAAAACAAACTTTTTAAATATTTCTTAACTTTATATTTTGAATAAATATAATAATCTAATCTATAATAATTAATAATATTATTATAATTATAATAAAATAGGTTATGTTAGAGTGGTTCACTAAACTTAGCTTGAGCGCAAATAATGGCCCATACTAATACTACGGACAAACATTGTTCATACTATAGAACAGAATGCTTACCAGAGAAGGTAAAAATGACCTATGCAGTCAGTGCAGGGACAATGTAGATAACACCACTACTCTCCTCTTTAAGTAAAAGTGAACCAACCTGAAAAATCTATAAATTTTGCCATGTTTCACATTTTAAGATATAACAGCTCTGTCAGTTCGTTAGGAACAGAGCCCTTTAAGACTTATAACCTTGTAATGGCCTAAGATGAGCACAAATACATGAGCTGACGCACAATTTTCTTCTCCTCTATAAATCTAAACAAAAATCAAAAATCATTATAGAATGCCTTCTTAGCATGCAGTGATCAAAAGTTGCTAAAATTCATTTTTTTTAGTGTAAATGTCGATCGTGTTAGCATAGACTACTTTATCTAGAGTACATCACTTTGATGAGTTGACTCCGCCATCATCAAGGTTCCTAGATATCTTTATGCAATTTGTTTTGAATTTCCATTTTTTCCGATTGAGAAGAAAAAAATGTAGACTCCATACTAAATTTATTCCAAATGGTTTGAAATATTCCATTGATATTCTTTTTTGCTGCAAGGAGAGATATATTTGTTAGCATATACTATATGTAATACATGAGGAGCAGCCTCGATGGACTGTAGTTTTGGGCTCAAATGGTGTTTAAAGCGCAGTGGTTCTCATATTTCAACAATTTTTTAAGCAATCCAAAAAGAAATTAAGAATTGATAAATACTTGATTTCTCCTTAATTTCTACATATTGTTGACAGAAGTTTATGATTTTATAAACTCTATATTTTATTAAACAATAAAATGATGTGAATTTCAGTATTCCAGAACTGTACTATAAAAATAAATTTCTGGTAATTATAATATTAAATGAAGTACTATATATAAAATAACTAAAGTAACTATTTTTTAGGAAAAGTGCTATTAAATTACTTTATCCATTCTCATTAAACTATATGCTTATTATACCAGAATAGATTCAATGTTGAAGATAACTTATTATTAATAAATAATAATACTTGACGTATATGTACTATTTTACGATATAATTACAAATAAAGTTTGGAAAGTACATACTTTGCATATTTAATGATTTAAAAAAACCCTCAATTTGTGAGTCACGATACCTGTAGGAAGTAATCAACAAATAATTGAACATATAAATGAAAATCGTTACTTTTAAAATTTTTAATACATTTGTATATTTTAAAATTAAATAGTTTTAAATATCACGAAATAGTATGCGTTGTGAAAGATGTTCATTTCATTTTGTAATTTTTATTGTTTATTCAGAAGATACTACACACCTTCACACTGCAATATAGAGATAGATATGAGATAGAATTTAATTGGCTTACACTCGGTAAGCAAATTAGGAATGTTCTGTATTGAACTTGACTCATAAATAAATGTTTTGTTAGATTTATAAATACAATTGTGTTGATTTGCGAAATCGCAAACGCTGTAAACAAGAATATAGGGAGCTACCCAATGTTTTCTTCTGACATAAACAATCTTCTTAGCTTTATTATTGTTTATATTAGTGTGATGATGTTAAAAGAGAATTTATCTTACTTTAAAAACATAAAAGAAATAATGACAGAGATTTTGTATTATTAATAAATCAAAACAAATAGTGCTCTGTTGGTTCGTGACGAAATAAGTTTTGGGGTCTCTTATAAATTTTGGGAGATTACTTTTATGATTTAGTTTGTACTTATAAATAACAAAGTAGTCAAAACAAATACCATGAACTCAGAAGAACAGTTTTTACAATAGAAAGTTATAAAAATAATTAAATAACAACGCTCAATAATAAAGACAATTCAATAAAAAATCTGCACCTTCAAGAAAAACATTACATATATTTATTTTTTAGAAAAAAAACATGATTTTAATTAATGCAGAATGTCGGTCATAGATTGAAACTTTCTATACCACTTTCTTTTATCAATTCACTATAGCTGTTACTGCACTATACTACTAGAGTTTGATATTTTAATAGTATGTTCACATTTCCTTAGTTAAAGCGGTTTAATTGATTTAGGTCGCTGAAACGTATGAAGAGATTTCGTGCTTTCCGACTTAGTTAAGAATAAATTAAGGGAAATTATATCAAAAATGTCGAAGGCAACAATGCAAAATATATTTCCCAAATGACTAAATGACTAAAGGGAAATGACTAAAATTTGACGTATTTGACTCATGAAATAAAATATAAATGAACAAAAAAAAAGTCAAACAAAGAGGTAAAAATTTTTTAAAATGCTTGTTTTTTTTATAAATAAATAATATTTTATTGTTGTTTATAAATAAAAAATATAATTAATTAATTTAATTATTTTACAACTAGTTTTTGATTTCGTTCTAATATAAACACAACAAGTGAATTTGTTAATAAAATTTTCACAGCAAATTAACAAAACTCCCAAAAAATGTGCGAACATAAAACTCATACGGCTTTGTGTCACTTGGTTAAGGTGCGCTGACTCTGAGCTTCAAATTTGACAGAGCACAAGCTCAATTCCTAATACTTGCAGTCTCAAAAAAAATATTTACGAATAATTAAATACAAGTATTATTTCCAAGACCACTGATGAAGGGTATTTGGCAATACTCGAAACAGCTGTATGGTTAGCCAAAAAATTTAAATAATTAAAATAATATAAAAAAAGAATTTTTGTGGTTATAGTTCACTACTTTTCGAAAACCTCTTCATAAATAAAATATATAATTGATATATAAAAATATATGAATGAATTTCCATAATATTTGATATCATTATACAATATCATATATAATTTAACAAAAAATATTTATTACAGTTGGATATCAACGGAAATGTAAACAAACAAAACTCTTCTAGAATTTTCACAGAGCTTTATGACATAAAAACTCAACATACATAAGCCAACTTATGCTAGTTGAACGTCCAAATATTAATTGATTGATATAAATTGATTTAGTTGCAGTGCCAAAATTCTTCTACACCTCCAACCGCTATTTAAAAATGAATATCTTAATGCTAAGATCATGAACATGAAGCTATATAATCAAGTAATTCGTCCGTCATTTCTATATGGATGCGTAGCGTTTAGCAAGGCTTCAAACACTACCATTCGCCAGCTTAATATCACACAAAACCAGGTTCTGAGAAAACTATTCAAGGTACCATGGTACATTAGGACGAATAACATCCACAGGGACTTCAACATTGTTCCGATCAAAAAATATATAAAGAATAGTGCCTTGAAATTATTTATGAAAACTGACAGGCTTACCAACACCGCGTTTTCGTATCTCAGAATGGTTACAGGCTCCTCGGAGAGGTATGCAGATCTGAGGTCAATTGTTGTTTAGTCTGATGTAGTGTTAAACAAACGCCTTGACAAAAAACAGTCAAGGCGTAGGGAGGGGTTATGAAGAAACCTCGCAGTTAATAGAGAGTAAAAGTGCTCAAGTGCACTGACTTAACTAACCTTAACATAATAATAATATTTCATATAATTTATTTAATAATAATAAAAACAGATTACATTATTTAAAATGATTTCATATAAGCATTTCAAAATAAACATTCATTGGTGCAACATTTCAATTTCTTAAGAATGTTGCTATAATTCAGTTAAACCTAAAACAATGACTCTATATAAATCTGTATTGCATCCATTCAAATGGTAGTAGATATTTATTTACATGCATATATACTTATGTCTATATATGAGGTAATAATAATGAACATAAACGTACAATGATTATTGTTTTACTCAGACAGATAAGTTATTTTTATTTTGAAATTGAGCGCTTGTGTAAATATTTTTGACTCTCAATTGTTCATTGTTTGTTTATTTATCTTATCTCAAAGTAATATGTTATGAATCATAAAAATTTCATAGATTCCATTTAACCTAAGAGTGTGGAAAAATTTGCAAACTACAACAATTTAGTTTAAAAAGTTTATGAAGTAAGTTCGGTTGAGGCGTTTAAATTGTTTTCTTAATCTTTGATTTTAATTGCAAAAAAAAAAAAAATAAATTAAAATAAAATAAAAATTAGTTTAAAGGAAATGCAAACAAAAATTATATATTTTAATAAATTATAAAAAATTATTATGGTTTGGAATAAATTTGTTTTTATATTATACACCGTTCGAATTGTAGGTTTTTTTCCAATTATTTTTGCGTGCAATAAATTCTGAAATTATCTACCCCCAAAACAATTAAGAACAAAATTTCTTCATAAATAATTTATTTTTCTACTTAATTTTAGTCTATGTTACTCTTATCTATGCAGAATAATGTTTGCTTCTGGCGTAATTGATTTTTGCTGTATTTATTATCTGTTGTCTATGGCAGAGCAAAAGTAGATGTATTCACGGATTTGCATATTTACTAACGAATGACTCCGGGTTTACACAAATTTGTGAAAACCAAAACAAAAAAAGCAATTTTCAGTGAATATAAAAGATCACTTTGTGTGGTGAATCTCAGCAGTTGTAATCTCGTATTGCATGTATTAAGTATTAAAATTGTGTTAAAACAAAATTCAGTATCTAAAACCAACAGAAGAGTCATTACCACTCAAAATGAGGCAAACGATATGTAAGAATTCGCCTGCAGGTGTTCACTTTTATTTTTAAACAAATTTCTTCATCAATAAAATTTTACTAAATTACAAATATATTGTTAATAAAATATATAGAAAAGTGCTCCATTTGATAAGTTTAATTAATTGTACTACAATTTATATATTTTTTGTTTAATTGCTTTTGCCAAGGTGGAACTTACGTGTACGTGTTTTAATTTTCAAGTGATTTTTCTGATATGATTAAAATAAAATTTAAAATAAAAATGATTACTTCATAAAAGTAGGAACGCCAAAAAAAAAATTTAATTAAAAACAAAAATGATAAAATAATGATAAAAATTAAATTAAACTTAAAATTTCTGAATGACTTTAATATTTGTTATCTGTCAATTATAAATATCGTGGTTCAAGATTAATAATTAAAATCCTCAATTACTACTTTATTAAGTATACGTGTATGTGAAACTATATATTAAATCATATATAAATAAAGTGAGAATATATAAAAATAATATCATTATATCAAAGCTTGCGTTTATAAAAAATAATTATAATATAAACATATTGATAAATACGTCAGTAAATCATTATCCTGTTCAGTTTTACATCTTCTAAATGAGTTCAAATTTGTGAATAAATAAATAAAAGAAAATAAAAAAATCAACTAGCCGATAAACACAATATAATAATTAATTTTTGATCATAAAATTAAGAAAATAAATTTTATATATAGAAAATAAACTAAAATACTGTAGTATTGACATGCAATTGTACTAAAAATTCAAGGACTTTAACTTGTTTTTATTAGCAACCTTCAAATCTATAACACAAAACATGTTAAGCGGGATAATATAAATATTTAAATTTTTTTTTTTTGTGATTTGTAATAAAATCAATGTTAAACAGAACATTTTTATAACAGAAAGTTTTCAATTTTTAACCAAGCCAAATCTTGGGATTATAGTTGTGGATACTGTTAAATATCTATAATCAGTGGTCTTCTTAATCATCTGTTGTTTTAATTGTCCGTATAAATTTTTCAGACTTTAAATATTAGAAATTGAATCTTGTCAATTTCGAATCGTAGATTCGTATATTATAGTGAATATTAGTAAATAATGACAATGAGGAAGAATAGTGAAGAAGAACAGTAAAGAAGGATAGTGCAGAAGAACTCTCAAAAAGGCCCTTCTTTATTAAATGACCTATTACACGGAAACACGATGTACATTTATTTTGTATTTTTTAAATTTATAGTTTTATTAATATTTGCTTGTTTATGTGTAAACAACAATTGCACTTGCTGTACTATTTTTAAACTAAACGCATATACTACAGCTACATAAATTGACTAAATCATTATATAAAAACAAATGTTTTTTATCATTTTTAAGAGTTTATTGTTTTAGCAATTTATTGTTTTAATATGTTAACCAAAGTCTTTTTAAAATAAAAATTGTTTTCAAAACAGCCTGAAGAGATGATTAGTACCCTAATGATGACTATAGAATATAATTGAAATATTAGTTTAAATAACCAATAATATTGGTTTTGTTTTTAAAATGGGCTGAAGATGATTAGTATTCTGAAGATGACTATAGAATATAGTCGTAATATTGGCTTAAATAAAATTTTTTAAAAGCAAAATCTTTTTTTAAAAGTATATTATTTAATTATTGAGCAAGTACCTCAACTTAAAAACAAAATTATTATTAAAATTTTTAAGAAAATAAACAAAAAAAAATTAAAATATATTAAACAATTACACTACTAATACTTATTTCCTGAATTCTTACTAGAGCATAAGGCCTCCTTAAATTCAAAAGAATTTCAATTATAATAGTACCCGTATAGAAAGAAAAAAATAAGGAAAAAATAAGGAAAAAATAAGGAAAAAAGGTGCTGTTGAGATTGTGAGAAATAGAGAATATTTTCTAAAGACAAAACCTCCAATAAAACATTTTTAATTTTAAATAGTTTTTAAACTTAATTGTTAAAAATGTATTCTGTATGTATTTTAAAAAAGTTTGTATTTTTAAACCAGAACTTTGTACAAATATATTGCCGATTATTTTGTTTATATTTATAGATTTTATCGAACTGATGTTTAGTTTGGGCTAATAATTTACTGACGCAGTTCTATTTTGAATTGGGAATTCACACTGTTTTAATATAATCTCAAAATAAAAAAAAACAAACAAATATGTACTAGTTAATCATATTAACAAATTAAGATAACGATTATTTACCAAAGAATAGGTTATAAATATTTGCATATAATAAACAATAATAGCAACTATTACTATATTAAAATATAATAGCTTATGAGTTATTACAAATAAATTGTTATATTAATTAAGTAAATATTTAATTAACTTTCATTTTAGTTATTTCAATTTGTACCATAACAATTCTACAAATGGCTACCGCCGGCACAACCGCACCATCCTTGAGCGCTGCTCGTAATGCCTTTGCAATGGACACTTTTAAAGAAATTGCGGTCAATAGCAATGCAAAGAATGTAATCTATTCACCTGCCTCAATACAAGCATGTATGACCTTACCATTCTTTGGTGCCGAGGGTCAAACTGCAACAGAATTAAGAGATACATTACATTTAGGAGCTGGAGACAAACAGTCGATTGCACAAAACTATGGTGACTTTATAAAACGCGTCTTTAAAAGTTCATCTGATGGTCCCCAACTAACTATGGCGAATCGTATATATGTTCAACAAGGATTGGAAGTGAAGCCACAATTTAATGAAATCGCAGCAAAGAATTTCCAATCTGGTGTGGAACAAGTGAATTTTGCTAATTCTGGACCGACAGTCAAACAAATCAACTCGTGGGTAGAACAACAAACGAATAATAAAATTCAAAATTTACTTTCGTCGGATGCAGTAAATGCACAAACAAGTTCCATATTGGTAAATGCAATATATTTCAAAGCTAATTGGACCAAACAATTTAGTGAATCGTCTACGCATAAAGCAGACTTCTCATTAAATTCTAGACAAAAGGTTCAAGTTGATATGATGTTCAATGATGATAACTATAAATATGCGGAACTATCCAATTTAGATGCGAAAGCTATAGAGTTACCATACAAAAATTCAGAAATCTCAATGTTAATTTTACTGCCAAATAAAGTTGATGGTCTTCAAGAACTAGAGAAGAAAGTATCCGCTATTGATTTAAATCAAATTACAAGTGAAATGACTTCAAAGAGTGTTGAACTGTTTCTACCCAAATTTAAAATCGAATTTGACATTGATCTCAAGCAGTCATTACAAAATGTAACTAAAATATTCTATAAGTCTAGAATGGAATTATTATATTAATTATATATTTTTTCTTCACTGTTATGTATTATAGCTTGGCATTAAAACTGCATTTTCTGATAATGCTGACCTTAGTGGCATATTTACTACGAGTGTTCCACAAAAAATTTCAGATGTCAAACATAAAGCATTTATTGATGTTAATGAAGCAGGTTCAGAAGCTGCAGCAGCTACATGTAAGTATACAATTGCATTGATTTTTCTATATTGTTTGAGCATAATTTAATATTTTCATTTTTACAGATATTAAAATTGTGCCTATGAGTTTAAATTTGAATCAGAAAACTTTCGTTGCTGATCGTCCATTCGCTTTTTGGATACGTAGCAACGACGCTGTTTATTTTGCGGGTCATGTTGTTTCACCCTAGAAAGTGAATCTTTAAAATTTATTATAAACTGATTGTATACGTTTTT